CCATCATCATCACCATCATCAGCATCATCATCATCCTCGTCCTCATCATAATCGTCATCATCAGCTTAATCATCACCATCGTCATCATCATCATACTGACCATCATCATCCTGCTCAGCATCCTCATCCTCATCCGCATCGTCATCATCATCATCATCAGCATCATCAACATCATCATCATCATCATCAGCATTAGCAACATCATCAGCAGCAACATCATCACCGCTATCACCATCATCATCATCATCATCAGCAGCAGCAGCATCATCCTTCTCATGAGCAGCAACATCATCACCATCAGCATCATCATAATCATCATAATCATCATCAGCATCGTCAGAATCACCACCGTCATCATCGGCATCCTCATCATCATCAGCATCATCATCGCGCTCATGTTGTACATTCCAATCCCCCGCCAGATTTATGCCCATCCTCTCCATATCCGTTTCATCCTCTCATCGTCATCGTCATCGTCATCGTCCTCGCGGAATCGAACCGTTTCTACCGAGACTGATGGACTGACAAAGTGGCGGGACTCGCCACAGACATACCGAACATACTGTATGTAGATGTGTCGACCTCGCGATACATCGGGACAACCATCGGGAAGCCAATCGAAAAAAAACATATATTGCTATATATATATATATGTATGTATGGTTCTTCTGTCCCACGATCGAGCTACCGACCTCACTATCAACGTATAGGCCGCTGTCACTGTATACCTGCCGGGGCAACAATCGGGAACACCATCAGAACGACCATCGGGACGGCCATCGGGACAACCATCTGTTAACAATCGGGCCAACCATCGGGCCAACCATCGGGACAACCAACGGGACAATCAACGGGACAACCGGCGGGACAACCGCGAGGCAACCGGGGCCAACCAGACCCGACCAGGGGGCTGACTCATTTTGGTCTGACGTGGCCCCTACCAGGGCTCGCACGAAACGAACATATTTCCCAGTTGGGACAAGTCACGTTTCACATCAGTCTCACCCCGCCAACCTCCGATCCTCTCTCCCATGGTGCTGTACTGATTTTCGCATATTCGGCCCGAACACTGCGATTTACACACAGGATTGTCCCGAGTTGGCTCATTTTCCTCCCTCCATAAACCCCCCTCCCTCCCGCACGCCACACTCCATGCTCGAGTCGAGTTGTCCCACACGCCCCCCCCTCCTCCTCCTCAATCCTCCTCCTCCTCCTCCTCCTCCGCCTCTCTCCTCCTCCTCCTCCCTCCTCCTCCTCCTCCCTCCTCCTCCTCCTCCTCCTCCTCCTCCTCCTCCTCCTCCTCCTCCTCCTCCTCCTCCTCCTCCTCCTCCTCCTCCCTGTCTCCCCCCCTCCCCCACGAGGGCGGCTCCTCCGTAGGGACGCCCGCAGGGCTGAGAGCCGCCCAACTGTGCGGCGAGGTGCGCAGCTCCTCCACGGCGTGGTGAGGGCACCCGCCACGCTGTCGCTCGGGGCGGCCCCGAGGTGGCCAACGGAGGCCCAGCCGCCCAAAACGAGCAACCAAGGGGAAGTCCAGTCCAGTCCAGTCCGCTCCATGATGCCCGAGCAATCCGAACGTGCCGTTGCTCTAGGCTTCTGGGCGTCGCTCTCGTGACAATCTACCCTCAATGTGAACCCGGCCTGGCTCTCCAAGCCCGTCCGCTTGAGCACCGCTCGTGCTGCCCTCCCTCCAGGGGGAGAGCCCATGAGGAGGGCCTTCCCAAAACAGCCTGTCTGTAAGGGCTCTGTGTGCTGCTGCTGACGCCTTCTTCCCCCGCGACGCGGACCGACGCACCACGACTGGCTCCACGACGCAAGGCCGAGGACCGCCGGACGAGCGGTCGGCGCCTCACGCGGGGCGAGGGCGCCCAGGCCCCCCCCCATCCGAGAGATCGGTGGCCAACCGTGGCCCTCACATGGCGGCCCCCCGTCGCGGCCCCCGCACCGTGGCCCTTCCACGCATCGTGGCTGCGTCAAGCTGCTGCGTGCGAGGAGGGGACTTCTCCATATCCACCGCCTGGGAACCGACGTCCTGGTGCCCCAGCGGGCGGTAGGTACGGACGTAGTCTGGCCCCCGGGGTCCCGAACGTGTCCATGTCCGCCGCCTCCCGAGGTGCCCCCGAAAATGGATCCTCCAGGGCGGAGGTCATGTACGAACTCCCGCCTCGGACTTAGGCCCTCCAGCCGAGAGCGTGCCGCTCTCAGCACCTGGGCGGGGGCGCGACAGCGCACCCGGCTGTGCCCTCTGACGGGACACGCCGCTTCGGGGCAGCCAGATCTGCCCTGAGATCCGACATTGCAAAAAAAAAAAAAACATCTTTCTGTGACATTTTCGAGCAGGATCGATCTGTGAGGGTCCCGGTGCCGAAATTGAGCGAAAACGCCGGTCGTGAAAAAATTGCAACGCCAGGATCTCAGGGCACGAGGAGGCCTCGGGTGGTGCAGAAGAGCCGCAGGTGGCCTCGGGCAGCGCGGTGCGGCGCCGGGCAGGGTCGGACGGTGTGTGGTCGGTCGGCGGCACCTCTCGCTCGCTCAAAGGCCGTGCGCCGGGAGGCGCACAGCAGTGCCAGCTTCGCTAGCCCTCTGGCCTGAGACACCATGAAGATTCCCACTCCCAGCGTAGCAGAGCGTTCGGTGAACTGCCCAACGCGTGCAGTCCTCCGGCGCCCATCTTCCGAACCAATCTCTCGATGGCCGAGGGATGGAAGCGCGCTTCTTCAATTCGTCGGCGCTCGGGGGGCACAAAGAAGTCGAGATGCGAAGTGGGCCGGGTGGTGAGCCTACCTGTCAGTACCACCGCTGAGGACCAGGGGCGGCTGATCTTGGGTGCACTTTGATCAGGTAAACACCTTGGGAAGCCAACTCCGGCCGGCGTGCGTAAGGCGGTCGTGCGGGGTCCCTGGGCGTGAGTAAGAAGTGCCCGCTGGACTCCTATGCACGAATGCTTCTGAGCACGCCCAGACGAGTTCGGAGCGGCCCCGTTGGGTATGGTCGTTCTGGGCATGCCTCAACGAGGTTAGGCTGGTGGCGCCGTCAAAAGCAACTACCCCCGCAAGACACCCTGATGGCAGCAACGGTGAGCTGGGCATCGCTCGGACGTCCATTCCCTGTGTTTGTTTCGGTTTCGTGCGTGTCTTTTTCGCCAAATGATCAAGGATGCTCCTCGATGGTCCTCGCCCAAGGAAACATGCACAAGTCCGAGCGATGCCGAGTGAAGAGGCGGGTCGGGGAGCAGGTCGGCCAGTGAGAACGTGCCACGCCAGGGGTGGGCGCACGGCCCTGTGCACCCCAGCGCATGAGTCACACGAGATCGTGGCCGTCTGGACCAACAGTGCAACCAGCAACGAGGCGAGACCACGACTCCCACATAGATCATTAGTAGTAGTAGTAGTAGTAGTAGTAGTAGTAGTAGTAGTAGTAGTAGTAGTAGTAGTAGTAGTAGTAGTAGTAGTAGTAGTAGTAGTAGTAGTAGTAGTAGTAGTAGTAGTAGTAGTAGTAGTAGTAGTAGTAGTAGTAGTAGTAGTAGTAGTAGTAGTAGTAGTAGTAGTAGTAGTAGTAGTAGTAGTAGTAGTAGTAGTAGTAGTAGTAGTAGTAGTAGTAGTAGTAGTAGTAGTAGTAGTAGTAGTAGTAGTAGTAGTAGTAGTAGTAGTAGTAGTAGTAGTAGTAGTAGTAGTAGTAGTAGTAGTAGTAGTAGTAGTAGTAGTAGTAGTAGTAGTAGTAGTAGTAGTAGTAGTAGTAGTAGTAGTAGTAGTAGTAGTAGTAGTAGTAGTAGTAGTAGTAGTAGTAGTAGTAGTAGTAGTAGTAGTAGTAGTAGTAGTAGTAGTAGTTAGTAGTAGTTAGTAGTAGTAGTAGTAGTAGTAGTAGTAGTAGTAGTAGTAGTAGTAGTAGTAGTAGTAGTAGTAGTAGTAGTAGTAGTAGTAGTTAGTAGTAGTAGTAGTAGTGGTAGTAGTAGTAGTAGTAGTAGTAGTAGTAGTAGTAGTAGTAGTAGTAGTAGTAGCAGCAGCAGCAGTAGTAGTAGTAGTAGTAGTAGTAGCAGCAGCAGCAGCAGTAGTATTATTATTATCCTTACTATTCTTACTACTACTCTTATTATTAGTATTATTATAAGCATTACTACTATTATTAGTATTATTATCATTATGAGGGAGTCGCAGGCGAAACGGATGCCCGACCAGGCGAGCTAGGGCCCCCTCGTCCACCCTGTGCGACCCATTCCGTCGCTCTTCTTCCATCGTCGCGAGAAGCGCCTGGCGAAACGCTACCAGGGAATCAACCGGAACACAACGCTGGATTGTGGCCGTGCCCCGCTTGGCGCGCCCGGCCTCCCCGCCCGACGGCGCACTGCCAACGGTCAGCCGCCCCCGCTTGTCTGGCGGTGGTGATAGCAGGCAGGACTGCTCCTGGTGTCCAACAGGTCACTGAGGGCAGAAAATGACGCTGAAGGCAAAGCGTTTGGCGGCAGGCAGTAGTTGAACGAAGCAGAACATGACAGATGCTTGAAGGTGAGCGCTTCCGAAGGCAAACAGTGTTACGTGTATTGCTCGGGTACGCCATCTGGAAACAAGAAGCCCGCACTGACGAAGTGGAGGCCGAACGCAAAGACCACCTGAGCCGTGGCCTCCGCACAAGCTTTGCCCTCGACCATTGAGGTGGTCGAGGCATTCGGGCGCCTTTGGCTGTCGCCTGCGCCTCTGGGAGCCTCGGGTGACCTCGGGGGGACCCCCAAGGTCAGGGTCGGAAAGGCACCGGCACTGGATTGTGACGCTGGCCTCCTCCCTCCTCGCCCTTCTCTCCCTCCTTCCTCCTCATCCAGCTGCTCTCTCGCCTCTCCCCCCTCCCTCCCTCCCTCCCTCCCGCACCACACGGTCACACCGACCCGACCACACTCCGCCATGCTGTGGAGCACGCCACGCTGCCTGCGCGCGCCGCGCTGCCTGCGCGATTCTCTGAGGGCGTGGCCACGTTCGCCACCACCGCGTGCCTCTGCTCCACTACCTCGTGCATCAGGGGCTTCGCTCCTCCATGCTGCCCGAGCTAGAAGTCCGATGCTTATGAACATGGAGCATGTCATCACCGAATGGGCTGGTTCTGGTTTGGTGCCCTCGTGGATCCAGCTGCTTGGCCAAGATCTCCAGCTCGTCGTGGATCCAGATGAGCTCCCGATGCAACACGGCGACATCCACTCGCTTGGCCTCGCCTCGAAACTTCAAGCACCCGAACATGAACTCCTCGGAATCGATGGTCCCAGTTTTGTTTGTGTCGAGGAGGTGGAACAGCTTGCCCACCTGTTCAGAGTCCACTCCCAATTGACTGAAGTAAGCGCCGATCTCGGGTTCTTGCATGCGCCTCCGTAACGTCTCCTGGTCGATTTGACCGGTCTTCTCTTCATCGAGCTCCTCGAATATATTCCTCATGGTGTTGAGGTAGTCCATCTTTTCTATGATCTCGCTCTGGACCACCAACCCGCGATCGGCCTTACACCGCAATTGCGTGCTTTCCAGCATGACTGCCGTGACCTCAATTGTCTCTCGCAACGCTCAGAATAGATGTGGCTGGTCAATGGTCAAGATTCGCACCAGGATGACCGACAGCTGCAAAAAAACTACACTCAAAAACAGTCATCATACATTGCCAGCGTGGAGCCCAACTAATCAGTAACTTGCACTGTGGTTGTTAACGTTACGTGCTGCAAGCTGTGAGATGTGAGCTATGTTGTGCAACACATGTGGTGCAAGTCACATATTAATGGTGCAATAGATGTGGTGCAAGCTACGCGGTGCAAGCTATATGGTCTGAGCTGCGTGGGAAAGCTATGCGGTGTGATGCATGTGGTGCAAGACACGTGGCGCAAGCGATGGAATGCCACACGTGTTCTCCAAGCCATGTGGTGTCAGCTGTGTGGTCTTCGCAACGTGGTGCACGCCGTCCGGGTGCAAGCTAGACGGAGGAAAAACCGTGCGGCGTGAGAGCTGGCGGTAAGGAAAAAGGCGCAGGCGGGCAACGGGCCACCTGGAGACACAATGGAACAACACTTGCACGGTACTGGCTGCGAAGAAGTGCTCCAACAGCGGCCGACTTCCTTCCCAGCTGTGTTTCTGTATCGGATAACACGGCTTGCTGGACGATACACTTCAGCGGGTTGGCGTGGACCCTCAGCCCACCGAGCCGCCAGAGGGCCCCCAAAACGGACCCAGCGGCTCCAAAGAGGGTGTCCCAAGACAGTCCACAAAGACCACGGCTCTGCCCCAGAGGGAGGGCCCCGTGACGGCCCAAGATGGCACCAAGACGGCCGAAGACCTCTCAGCACGCTTTCACAACGCTCAAAAGAAAAAAAGGCCCAAGAGCGAGCGCTCACATGGGGCCCCAAGTGGACCCTCTAAGCTGCCTCAAGAAGCAGCAACCGTTAATACTCTGAGGATGTTCGAAAGATTTCGAAGCACTTGCGCCTTCGAGCTTGAGGTCCCCCAGGACGGCATAAAAAGACCCCCCAACTCGCACCGACACGGCCCCCGAGGCCTCCAGGAGGCCCCCAATTATACCCGAAACGTACCCAAAAAGCTTCCAAGAGACCCCAAAACGGCCCAAGAGGGCCCAAGACGGCCCAAGAGCCCCCAAGACTGCCCAATTAGCTTCCAAAAAGGCCCCCAGGGGCCTCACGCCAGGATTACAAGCACACGTCGGCAAACTTCGACCGGCGCAGACCCGTGGATCCCACCTGCGAACGCACACTACAGGCTGATCAAGGTTGTCTCCGAACGCCGCCACATGGCCCAATGTCGCATCGCAGGAGGACTTGCGCGGGCGATGGCTGCAATCTGTGATACAGTGGCCGAACATACTGCGCTTCGGATGTCCACACCCGCTGCCCTTGCTACACTGTAGCACAACAGTGCAAAATGTGGGCCAGTATGCTTGCGGAACCGAACTCTATACACCGACGCTTTTCCCGGCCCCGCACTGGAACTCGCACAGGAAAGCGGATCCTGGTGTATACGGGATCCTGGTGTATACATTTTTCTTTGCTTCCACGGGAAAACAAGCAAAAAAGTATACACCACACCACCCCGACGTCGCCCCCGACCCTCGAAAAGTCTGGGGATTGAAAAAACAGCCCGCCCCTGGTAATGCATATGTTCCAGTTTCCGGCAATACGCAAGAGTGACCCTGGGCAAGAGTGACCTCTGGTGCGCGGCGTGTGGGGGGGCCGTGGGGGGGACCAAACACGAGCGCGCGAGACGCAACTACCGCATCCCGTTCGGCGATCGGGGGGCCCCATTGGGCCCGCACCAAAGGTCACCCCGGCGAAAAAATCATGTTTCGCGTGCTTGCACGCCCAGACCCCCGACATCGTGATTTTTTCACAACGTCGACCCCCAGCGGTCTGGACCCTTTCCCCGGGGCCGGTTTTGCATCCTGAGTCGTTTCTTGACGGTCCCGACGCCCGGGAAGGGCCCCTCGGAGGCCGAAAATAGCGAAAAAACTCCCGTCGTGATTTTTTCACAACGCGAGGAGGTCTGGGCGCCTCGGGCGAAACCGGGCCCAAATCCAGCTAATCCGGGGCCAAAGCGAGCAGCTTCGGAGGACGCCTCGGGCAGCCTGCGCCGGCCGACCGGGCCGAGCCAGGCCACGCCAGGCCAAGCCAGGGCCCTCACCGGGCAGATTCCGAGGGCGTCCCAAGCAGAATCGCCCAGGCCAGTCTCCCAAGCCAAGCTCCACCTACTCTCCTCAAGAAAACTCGGACTTCAAATGGAATGAGCGGATCACCTCAGCCCCCCCCCCCTCCCAGCGAGAGCCGGTTTAGTATTTCATGGGGGGGAGGCGTTTGGACCACGTGACCGCTGAGGCGGACGGGGTTGGGCGTGGAAGGCTTCGTTTGTCTTTCGGATGTTTTTGGGGGTCTTGGTGTGGCGTAAGGGAGAACTCTTCTGAGTCTGTAGTACCCACCTCCGTGCCGCAAAGCACTGAGTAGAATATCCGCAGGCCAATGGGAGGAGGCAGGGAGGTGGAGGCACGGAGGAGGAGGAGGAGGAGAGGGGAACGGGGAGGATGAAGAGGAGGGGGGGTGGACAGGGAGGAGGAGGAGGAGGAGGAGGAGGAGGAGGAGGAGGAGGAGGAGGAGGAGGAGGAGGAGGAGGAGGAGGAGGAGGAGGAAGACGAGCCTGGCCCAGGTCCTGGACGTCCTTGGCAGCGTCGCGTGACTCCTGGGGCGCCCCACAAAACTTGTTCCGAAGCCGACAGGCCCCGCGGGACGGCCCAGGAGACGCCCAAGACACACAAGGAGGTCTCCCAGGTCAATGAAGGACTAGGGCCCCCAGGAGGCAAAACTCACTGTTTACCCTGATGCTGTCTCGAAGGTGTTCAAATAATTGGCTTGCGTGGTCTTCGGGCTACCCAAGACGGCTTCAAAGGCCCCCAAGATCGCCCCAAGAGGGTCCACTTGACACTTCAAACCATAGGGACGGCCCATGCCCCCCCCCCCTGTGCTTGTCACAAGGGTGCTTGGCGTGCTGAACTTGTTTCTGCGTCCCTTGTTCAAAATATTCCCAGTGGCCATCGGCCCGTGGAACCAGCCACCCGGAAAGACCCGGGCGAACCATAAAGAATTGTCCTCCGCACCAGAGACCCCCAAGATAGACTACAAGATGCCCACCAAGACGGCATGAACCAAGATGGGCCCCAAGCCCCAAGACGCCTCGGAAGCGGCCAAGATGGCCCCAAGACGGCCCACGATGCCGTCCAGGCAGCCCAAGAGGCACCAAAAACGTCCCAAGAGGGCTCCAAGAGGACCTCTTGGGACGTCTTTCCCCCTCCTGCTCCTCGTCCTCCTCCTCCTCCTCCTCCTCCTCCTCCTCCTCCTCCTCCTCCTCCTCCTCCTACACCTCCTCCTCCTCCTCCTCCTCCTCCTCCTCTCCTCCTCCTCCTCCTCCCTCCCCTACACCTCCCCCTCCTCCTCCTCCCCTCCCACACCTCCTCCTCCTCCTCCTCCTCCTCCTCCTCCTCCTCCTCCTCCTCCTCATCCAGCCCTTTTCCTTTTCAATGAGTCCTCCCTGTCCCAGTCCGAGGCGCGTCGGCAGGTCGGGCCAGGCGGTTCGCAGGAGACCTCCCCACCATGTGTGATCCTGGAAGCTGGGCCTCTGCAGGAGCTTCACGGCTCAAGGACGGGCCGTGTTCAAAACGTTGGTTTCGCCGCAGCGCCGCGCACATTCGCATTCGAAGTTTGCAAGAGTGCTGCGGATGGGGGCGAGCCGTTTTCAACATGCGGCTCTCGCCTGAGCGCTGAGCGCATACGTGTTCAAAGTTAGCGAGAGCTTTACGGATGAAGGGCGTGCGGCTTGCAAAATGCGGGTTTCGCCTTCGCACCGCGCACAATCGCCATCGAATGTTGCAGGCATTAGGCGGGTGGGTAGCACCGCGCACATTCGTCCAAAAGCTTGCCAAGGTTTCACGGCCTTCGGGGCGGTGACGTTTGAAAGTGTGGCTCTCGCGTCAGCGCCGCGCACATTCGCCTTAAGAGTCTACAGCAGCTTCGAGGGTTATTATGGCTGTCGTCCCAGAAGTGGTGCCCCGGGACGATGTAAGACTGCCAGGGCGCAACAACTACGTTGATTCGAGGTGTTGAGTCCCAAGAATGGCGTTCTCGCGAGATCCAGGACCGTCAAGACGCAACACTAACGTTCATTGGCGGCGCTGTAGTCCCAGGAATGGTGTACTGGCACGGTTCAAGATTTTCAGACGGTTGTCTTTCGCTTGGGGCACTCCCCTCAGTGAGAAGATATCCGTGTAAAGAACTTTGGAGAGGAAACGTGGAGGGATGGTGTATTGAAACATCTTTGATGGATCTTGAATTTACACTGGTCTTCCTCCTCCTCCTCTTCCTCCCTGTCATTATTCCCTTTCTTTTACCCAGGTTTGCACCAAGCAGTTCCATAACGGCTTGGGGAGCACATAGTCCAATAGCTTGACCAGAAGTTCACCCAACGATTTACCGAATGGGCATTCCCAAAAAGGCAGGGGGCGGCGGTGGTTAGCAGTTGGCGTCTTCGATGTACTGTATGTAAATTTGAGTATGTGTGTACGACTAGAAAGACATGTGTGTACACATATACACATACACACGTAAATCCATACATAGGTATATGTATATACAAGCAACATGTGGTTGCATGCATGTGAAAATTCCAATTTGGAGAAATAGACCGCCGTGAGCGCTTTGAAAGACATCTGAGGTCGGGACGACGTTCATCAGAGCGATGAGAGAGAAGCCGATGAAGAACAGGAGTAGGCCTGAAGGACGCTCGTTAAGAACACCTGCCAGATTATCCCACCTCCATTTGCCCCCTCCTCCCCCTGGCCCAGCACCCATTCAAAATCAATCCCCCGACTCTTCCTGGGGTGCATCCAGCCCCGGCAACGAGAGCCACCAGAACTGTCCGGCCGCACCCAAAACGTCGACGTCGACGCCGCGGTCGACGTCAACGACGACGACGACGACGACGACGATGGGAAGGACGGCCACTTGCTCTCCCGGGCGGGCGGTTGGGCTGATGCTTGGCGTGAAGAGAACGGGTCATTCGGGAAACAGGTCCTGGACGCCAGGGGGCCTTCCCCAGGACCAGATGTTTGCCCCGAGTCTCTGTTTTACTGTCCTAGGGACCTACGAGGGCCCAAAGAGTTTGAAACGGGCGAGGAAACTCAGGACCCGCTTCCTACATAGTAACATCTGGAGGACTGGGAGTGGGCACCAACACCAACACAGGGGGTTGCCTCCACAGGGGAAAGATGATCCTAGATTTCGGTGTTGGTGGTAATATTTCGGCCACCTTGGAAGCCAGAATATTACCACCATCACCGAGATCGGGATCTTCTTCCCTCGGCGGAGGCACACCGCCGAAATTGGTGTTGGTGTCAACCTCTAGGCCTGTGAAAAATGGATGACATGGGACTCCCCCAGGGGCCCCTGAAGCCCCAGCCGAGCGTGCCCAAGTTCGCCCACACAAACTCCCAGTCCACGCCGCCGGAGATCACCTGGAAGAGCGTCAGCACGGCGTCGAAGAGCGAGCCTGAGGGGCAGCGACAGGGGGGGGACACTACAGGGACGACAGGTTCGAGATCAGAGGGTTTGGGGCGTTTCTGTCGGTTTTCCAGCCTCGGGATGCTCTCCAGCAGCTGCGCCTCGCCGAGAGCGTTCTGAGGGTGCCCGGATCGTCCCGAACGGTCGTCGGAGGCACGAATTTTGGCTGAACAACCAACCAGGACGGGGACCTGCTCAGGGGGATGGCATCGAGCATGGATTGGCGATACATCGCGGATGGATCGGTGGTAGTCGGGTGTTGGCGAGCCCCATTCCACTAACCGGAACTCCCGTCATCCGAAGAATCACCAGCTGCGGCAGACTCCGTTTAGTGATTCTGGCTCCGGTACCCAGGTCTCTAGCCAGCTCCCCTTGCCCGGGGCCCTGGCTATATCCGAGACAGGTCCCCGATGGCAAGACCGCACGGGCCCCCATCGGTGATGAATGAGTGATCGGGAGCCGCTCCAGTCCCCCCCGAGCCCATGGTCCCCTGACGCTCGCTGCCCCTGAGAGCCGAAGTGCTCCCACAGGGGCACGAGCGACTCGTCCACCCTCCCCGCCTCGGACGGCCCGTTCCGCGTCAGGAAGGCCAGAGTGCCCTCGGACAGCACGGCGCCGAAGATGAGCAGGAACATGAAGGCCAGGAGGCTGGCCCAGACCATGGCCTTGACCGCCCCTGTGAGCGAGAGGACCATGATGCGCAGCTCCCGGAAGAAGCGGTGCTGGCGGATCACGTCGGTCAGTATCACGAGGGACAGGACCCTGACCAGGCGCAGCGTGGAGAGCATCGTGAGTACGACCCTGTACTGCGAGTGGGACCTCTGGTGCCGGTGCGAGTGCTGTCCGATGGCCTGAAGAAGCTGCGCGATCACGACCACAACGTGGAACGTCTGCCAGCCCAAACCAACACCGGCGCTCGGGTCAAACCGGCCAGCCAAAAATCTCAGGCAAAGATCAAAGAGAAAGAGACCGCAAGAAACGTCAAGAAGCACAGTGAAAACCAGCCGGTCGCTGATGCCACCTGGGGAGCTATGAAAGCTGGAGCTTGCACGATTCGCAGCATCCTGCATTTCACACACGACAAGCACAGCGTCCAGAATCATCATTACAGCCCGCGCGAGCTCAAACTCGGTGCGCCTCACGAGCTTTGGTACGAAGTCTTGTGATCCTCTTCTGAATATAAACCTGTTGCGCACATCTGACAGCCTCTGCGACATCGCACGTTGAAGTTGAGTCGACCTGCGCGGTTCCTCTACCAGGGAATGCATCCAATTCGTATCACTCTCTTTCAGGAACGACGTGCGTTCCCTCTTCAATCTCCTCATAGCCCCAGCGCTCGACATGCTGGCCAGGCTTGCCCTGTTCGATTTCCTCTGGGACTGCTGGGACGGCCTCAGGGATTGCCTTGGCGTCTCAAGCATGCTGGGCATGCTGCCAGGCATGCCTGCAGGCATGAGATACTCCGGTGCCTCGGAGATGCTGACCCGAGACTTCCTGTGGCGGCAGAGCTCGGGGATGCGCACAGAAGCCCCCAGAGATGATCCTGGCAGCCCGCTGCGGGCGCCGCCCGAGGCGGCGCCGGTGTCGATGAAAGGGGGCTCGAAGTGTACACCAGGTCGACTGGTCGGCCAGGGAGCTCATAGTATACAGTGGAGGCCAGTCCTCAAGAGACCTTCCACAGCAAACCCAGCCCTCAGACCCCAGGGCGTCCGTTGATGTTTGGTGAGGGAACGTCACGCTCTTCATAGCAAAACCATCGAAACCCAAGAAACCCAGGACACCCTGGAGGCAAGCAGGGTGCTTCTTGGCATGGGCCCCCACTGTAGACGCCCCAGCTTCCCAACCTGCGGGCCTGTGGGATGCTCCAGTCGGGGAGACGTAAGACTCGAGTACGGGGGACTCGGGTTGGCCTGACGGGCCATCAACAAAAATGACGAGACCCAGTGTGAAATTTGACGCGGGCTCCCGCTGCAAACATCCCACGCAAACTGGACCGTCAAAATCAAGGGCGCGCTCGACAACAATACGTCGGCGAACCGGAGTTTCAGCTTACTCGAGTCTTACGTTTCCCCGATCCAGCGCCTGGGATCAGGAACTCTTGCTCAGAACGTCGCAGCGGCGCGTTGTGCCAGGCAGGCGGGCAGCCTGGCGCGGCGCTCCGCGTGGCGCGAGGCTGGGAAGAGCTCGGGGCGCTGACGCTTGGGGACTGGGACGTGGTCAGCGCGTCGCGCCGAGGCGTGGTGGGCCAGAACCCGCGGCGCGACACGCGGAGCAAGAGCTCCCGAGCGCAATCGAAGCCGAATGTCCTCCGCCGCGCCCCTCGGCCCCTCGGCCCACCGAGCGACGCGGTGCACACCTCGCGCCGCAGCGGGCTGGGGCCCGAGAGCACCCCATGGGCCCGCCGGGGCCAGCCCGGGGCCACCTCTGGGAGAGGCGTGTGTGCGCGCACCGCCGCGCGCCGCCGCCCGCGTCCTGGCGTGGCGCGCGGGGATCGGGAGCCGCTCCGTGTCCGAGGGCTGGATGCCGACCGGGTGGAAGAGGAGCTCCTGGAGGAGAGGCCGGCGCAGCCACACACACTTAATGGGAGCTCCGCGCGGAGCCCCTGGACCGGCGCTGGGCACCGGCGCTGGGCGCGCCACCCTAGGGGGGCCTCGGGCCCAGGAGCAGCACACAGATGCGGAGGGCGAATCCCTAAGATTGTCATCGCCTTTTGGCGTGTCAATCTTAGGGGTAGAGATACGTTCGAGGCTGGTAAGAGAAGCTCTCCAGAAATCGTTGCGAGCCTGCCCTGCGCGAGCTCGCTCGGCACATGTCGGAAAGACTCGTAAGACTCGGGTGCGTGGGACTCGGCTTGGCCTGACGGGGGCCATCATAAAAGTGACGAGACCCAATGTGAAATTTGGCGCGGGCTTCCGCTGCAGACATCCCGCGAAAACGGGACCGTCAAAATCCAGGACGCGCTCGTCAACAAAAAGACCGGCAAATCCGAGTTCCGGCTTACTCGAGTCTTACGTTTTCCCAAACATGTCAGCTACACGCAGGAGTGACCCTGGGTAAGAGTGACCTTTGGTGCGCGGCTTTTTGGGGGCCGCGGGGGGACCAAACACAGGCGCGCAAGGCGCTACTATCGCATCGCGTTCGGCGATCGGGGGGGCCCAGTGGGACCGCACCAAAGGTCACCCCGGCGAGAGGTCACTCTTGCGTCCAGTCGAACATGGCGCGCCCAGCGCAGAGAAACCGAAGCGGCTCACACGCGCGCACGAGACCGAGCGCGCCGGAGCTTCGCCTATGGCACGCACAGGTGGCCCATCACGCATCCAAGAAAAACCAGCGCGCATCCATGGACTTTAGCGGATAACCTTCCGCGAGAAACCTAAGCCATGCTTAGTTGAATATGGCGTGTTTTAGTATAGAAAAATTGAATTGGCTCACGCGCGGGCTCGAGATTGAGCGCGCCGGAGCTTCGCCTATGGCACGCACAGGCGGCCCAGCACGCATTCACGAAAAATCAGCGCGCACCCACGAGGCGAGGGCGGCCCGGGAGGCCTCGCCGACCGACGACTCCCGGTGGGGCCGACGAGCGGCGAGCGATGCAGAGCGACGACGACGACGACGACGACGACGACGACGACGACGAGCGACGAGCGAGGAGCGAGGAGCGGCGAGCGACGAGCGGCGAGCGACGACGACGACGACGACGACGACGACGACGTTTTCTTCTTCTTCGAGCTCCGGCACCCTGTCGGGGAGCGGCGGCGCGCAGCCGCCGTTCTCCCCCGTGGGGAGAGGCGGCGTCTGCTGGAGGTCCCTGTGCCTGTCGAACACGGCCTCCACGTCGAGCCGGAGGCTCTCGAGAGCCTGCTCGACCAGCGGCGGGGGGGGGGGCAGGAGGAGGAGGCGGAGGAGGCGGAGAAGGAGGAGGAGGAAGCCATCGGGCCGAGGAGGGGCGGGATCGTCGTCGCCTCGTGGGTCGCCTCGTCGGTCGTGGCTGGCGCGCGGGCCATCAACGAAGAGCGAAAGAAGGCCGCCGCGACCCGCGGCCAGGGCCCTAAAGACGCCTACAGGGCGGGAGGAGTCCTGGCGTCGTCGTCCACGTGCCCTGAGAGGACAAGACCGTCTTCTAATCCGAGTTGCTGCAGCTGCGAACCGCCCCAACAGTCTCCACAGCGCACCGCAGCCGCAGCACCAGAAGGGCACGGTGGCGCAGAAAAGGGAACTGGCGGCCCGCGGAAGCTCGAGGGGAAGGTGGTCAGGAGCAGGGGCCACACGCCTCGAGCCCCGCTCAAGCGGCGATGGGAAGAGGCGGTCAGGAGAAGGGACCCTCGTTCCTTTCTCTGCCCCTGATGATGGGTAGGTGTGGGGGAGGGAGAGAGAGGGGGAGGGGAGCAGGAGGAGGACCAGGAGGGCGAGGAGGGCGACGAGGGGGAGGAGGAGGAGGAGGAGTGGTGGTGGTCACTGCATAAGGGAAAGAGAATCCTGAGCAGAGCAACACGCAACACGACCACGACGACGACGACGACGACGACGACGACGGAGACGAGGCGCGCTTACGATCCGCACCGAAGCACGGAGGAGGAGGAGGAGGAGGAGGAGGAGGAGGAGGAGGAGGGGGAGGAGGAGCAGGGACCACACGCCCAACTTCAGCCCGGGGCTCTGGGGAAAGGTGGCCACGAGCAGGGACCACACACCCGGGCCCCGCCGGCGGTGCCCAGCCCTGGCCACGGAGAGAAGCAAGAGGACCCACATCGAGAAGGAGAAGCTACACAAAAAGGAGAAGGAGAAGCAATAGTATCCACATCGAGAAGGAGAAGCAATACTATCGCATCGAGAAGGAAAAGCAAGAAGATCCACATCGAGAAGGAGAAGGAGAAGCTGCACCAAAAAAACGCAGCTACGCCAACGGCGCCAGCGACTACATCGCCGAGTACGCGTTCACGAAGAAGCAGCAGCCCATCGTCGACGAGGTCAAGGAAGCCGCACTGGAGGAAGCAAGATCACATGAAAGTTTTGGCTTCCCACCCGACAGCGGCGACAGGAAGAAGCTATGGGTACGTACTTTGCAGCACCGACTTGGAAGCATTGCCAACAAGATACAAGGTGCCAGAGCAGCACAGGTTGACGACAGTGGACTGATTCAAGAGGCATCCAACATCAAGTGCATGCTTGCGATGACGATAGGCCCCGACGAAAGAATCAGAGGATACAGATAGCAAATAGACGCCGCCATTAAAGAGCAAATCGATATCAACGACAAGATAAAGCAGCTCACGGTCAAACGAGGCGAGGAAACCAAGCACATCCAGCGGCTCAAGGACCTTATCATGGACGCCAAGAACGAGATCGCCGCCTACGCCGACACAGACTGTGAAGCTGACCAAGAAGATGAAGAACAAGAACAATAAGAGAAGAAATCGAGGAGGACAGCCACGCCGGCTCCGAAGCCGACGGTCAGCTTCACCATCCCAGCAAAGCGGTCCTGAATCACCCACGACGTGTCTAGCTGAGGGGCTCAGGCAGAAAGGACTACGCGAAACATAATATCAGAACGCCAACCTGAAGAAGACCAATGCAGAGCTCAGAGAAAAAGCGAACACATACGAGTAGGAGATGGAGATGATCAACAAGCGCTTCGAGAACATGTTCATCAGGAACGGCAAACAGATAAAGGATCACGAATATGCCATCTCCCAAAAAGCATTACATTCCGCATTGGCGGTGACCGAGAAAAACGAGGAAGCATTTGCAAGGTAATGCGAGACCCAGGAACGGGAGTACCATCATAGTCACGAAGAGTGCGATCAGAAGCAAGCACAACGAGCCGCTGACGCAACACAACAGGCAACGCAGCGCACCACCGAAGCCTACGAGGTGAATGAGTTCAAGGTGCAGTGCCTTCAACATGATAGCAGATGCTTAGAGGAACCAAGAGAGGCGTTGAAGAACGACCACGAACGCAGACGGCTCTCAAGCGAGAAGAGGCGGGAGCAAGCCGTACAGCATGATCAACGGCATCCGAGCCGAGCTCTCAGCTGCCAGCCACGCCATGGCGGACCAGCACGGACAGCAGCGGCACGAACTTCAGCAACAGAAAGGCTCGGCTGCGGGAGGAAAGCCAGCGCATGCAGCAGCACGCCGAACAGCTACAGCTCGAGGAGATGGTGATCAAAGCCATGCCCAACCGGGAGAACAGGAGGAAGCACGACCTTGCCAGCGAGATCACGAAACGGCGCGGCCAGCTGGAAGCACCGCGGCACGAGAAGCTGCAGCAAGCCGACGCCGAACTCCAAGTAGAACTCCGACGGCATCACGAACAGGAAAAAACACGCAGCGAGCAGCACGCACAAGAAATCGAGAAGTATCGAACGCACCACCACCTCCTCGAGAAGGCCATCAAGGAGCTGGTACCACAAGAAGCTCAAGAGCTCGACGTCGACCTACTGGACCATATTGCCAACGCCCTCGGCGACGACCTGGACGGCGACGACGAGCTGCAGCACCGCGCCACGGAAGAGGAACAGCGCATGCACGACGACCTCATCCCTGCCCTACACGCCATTGTCCCGACGAGCGAACAAGAACATGTTCAGGCACACGAGGCATAATACGTCGAGCTGAACCAGGCAACCCGGACGCAGGACAACCGAGGGGCTACCGCCACCATAATTCTGCAGACAGTGCAGACAGTGCCCCTCGTGGACTTCCGAAGACGAAGCAGTGGAATGCACACAGTGTGGCAGCAAGAACATCGTGTACACAACGCAGAACCATAACCATGCCGGAGTACCACCACCGCATTGTCAACCCTCACCACCTCCGCCACAATCGACTCCACCCCCCAGCCCACCAGCAACGACACACGGTTGACCTTATCACGCCGACTTCAGTAGCGCCTACGCGCATTGCAACGCCAGCGGCCCCTACTGCAGCACGACCGAGCCTCGACGACTCTGACGACACTGACCCCCTGGAAGCACCAACACCAGCAGCCGTCCCGACGACCCACCCCAGCAGCCCTGCCAACGCCAGCGCCCCTCATCGTTCGCCCCGTCTTCGACATGCCGTCGCCGCAACCACCCCCCAAAACCGCCCCACCCGACGACCACACGAAGCAATCCAAGAGCCTTCGGAAGCAGCCCTCACACCGACACCATAGCAGGCCGTGCACATGACGCCGCCCAACTACCCCAGGCCAGCCGACGACTGTTCTCCCACACAACCCTTTGACCCCCGCGGGCCACCAGCACTCTTCCACGTCGCCACGCCCGAGCGCGCTAGATCTGCCCCACCCGCGCGTGCCAAGTCGGCCTTGCGTGGGACCAAAGGGCAAGCCCAACCGAAAGGTGCGCATTCTCGACGAAGGCGACGGATTCTACGACCCATACCAGCGCATCCCCATCGGCACCGACGACCCTGCCAGCGGGTCGGGGTCAGATGCGCCCAAGAAACCGAATAGGGCTTGAACCGCTGGGGGGCTGCTGGCCCAGACGTGGAGCCCAACCAGCAATCCACCAGCAGCGCGAGCCTATGGCCCGCTCCGAGAGGCCACACCACACACGCCAATCCACGGGGAGCCCCCCCCCCGACCTGAGGCGACCGGCTGCGCGACCCGTGCGGTGCCAGCGACTCCACCAACGGTCACCCTCTCACCTCCACTAGGGAGTTTAGCTCGCAACCAACCTGCCGACGTGGTGCCAACTCGTGGGTAAGCACACCACGCCACCGCAGCTTCAGCTGTGACCAGAAACAAACACTAAGAAAGCATACAACGGTGCACTTCAGCTCGGACTCGAACACACCAGCCACACCTCTATCGCCTGAACCCGCTGCCAAGAAAGTAAGCGGGCTACTCGCACAGCGGTCCGAGCCACCGAAGCTGGACTGGGGAGACACCCCTCAGCAAACACCACACCACTTCCCACCTGGCCTGACCCATCGCCACCAAGGAGGAGCACAAGCCACGCCGCAAGGAGAAATAATCTAGACGTGCGACCTCCTAACAATCACGCAGCTACAGCAGCATCGACTCCCCAGACGCCAGCAGGCAAGCTGCCTAAAGAGTGGGTAAGCTACTCGCGCAGCAGCCAGGAGCTACGAGCAAACAGCGCTGGAGTGGGGTGCCAACCCTCAGCAAGCCGCGACTCACAACCAACACATACCTACGACACGAGCACCTACCCCACACCAGCTGGACCCTGGAGACTTCCCAGGGCCAGCAGCACTAAGACAGTCCCAGCTGAACCCGACCAGCAGGAGTACCCATCCACCCCGAGGACGCGGCCAACAAGGACCGACACACTCAGCCCCGAGAGGTCCGACCGACCCGCGCACCGCGGTGGACAAAGGCGACTAGCCATTTTGGCTCAGAGGCGACACCAGTTTTGAATTCAGAGGCGTCTATCATGAAACCCTGTGGCCCACCAGCGGCCGTCAGCGATGGCATTGACCCCCACGACATAGCCGACATCGAGGCGACATACCTCGACAGCAAGACCGACACCAGGAAAACCCAAGCCAACCATAACCGCATCAAGCCCACCATGACACGACAACCACGCAGACCTACAACCAGCTCCCACTACCAACCAACAAGCAAATATAAGCTGAACGACGGCCACGACATAGCACAACACGACCATGTCCACGTCACCACCATCGGCCACGCCACCCGACCCCTAACACCAAACTACCCGACCTCACACAATAGCGGCATGCTTGGGACACAATCGACATCGCCCACCTCCACACACCAACCCCATCACCACCTCCAGCAGGCACTCCCCTCCCGCACAGGCCCAGCAGCACTTGACTACGACCAAAACATCAGCCACCCCAGAGCAACCCCACCACCATCATGACAC